ATATTAAACAGAGGGCTCCTCATTTTTAAAATTCTCTCATGGGACATGGCTGACCCTGGCTAGCCAGCATTTATTGCCTGTCGCTAGTTTTTTTTATTTGTTAACAGGAGGAGGACATCGCTGACTAGGCAGCATTTATTGCCCATCCCTAATTGCCCAGAGGGCAGTTCAGAGTCAACCACATTGCTGTGGGTCTGAAGGCTCATGTAGGCCAGACCAGGTAAGGATGGCAGTTTCCTTCCCTAAAGGACATTAGTGAACCAGATGGGTTTTTCCCCTGACAATCAACAATGGACTCATGGTCATCATTAGATTCTTAATTCCAGATTTTTTGAAATTGAATTCAAATTCCACCATCTGCCATGACGGGATTTGAACCCAGGTCCCCAGAATGTTATCCAGGTCTCAGGGTTAACAGTCCAGCGATTATACCAGTAGGCCATTGCCTTCCCCTAGTTGCCCATCTGAAGATGGTTATGAGCTGCTTTCTTGAACTGCTGCAGTCCACATGCTGTAGTTGACCCACAATGCCATTAGGGAGGGAATTCCAGGATTTTGACAGAGCTACGATGAAGGAACGGTGATATATTTCCAAGTCAGGATGGTGAGTGACTTGGTGGGGAGCTTGCAGGTGGTGATGTTCCCATGTATCTGCTGCCTGTGTCCTTTTAGATGGAAGTGGTCACGGGTTTGGAAGGTGCTGTCTGATGATATCTGGCAAATTTCTGCATCTTGTGGATAGGATACACTGCTGCGACTGACTGTCAGTGGTGGGGGGAGTGGATGCTTGTGGATGTGGTACCAGTCAAGTGGGCTGCTTTGTCCTGGATGGTGTCAAGCTTCTTGAGTGCAGTTGGGGCTGCACTGATCCAAGCCATTGGGGAGTATTCTATCACACTCTTGACTTATGCCTTGTAAATGGTGGACAGACTTTGGAAAGTCAGGAGGTGAGTTACTTGTTGCAATATTCCTAGTCTCTGACCTGCTCTTGTAGCCACTGTATATATATGGCGAGTCCAGTTGAGTTTCTGTCAGTGGAAGCCCCAAGATGTTGATAGTGGGGAGATTCAGTAACACCATTAAATATCATGGGGCGGTAGTTAGATTGTCTTTTATTGGAGATGGTCATTGCCTGGCATTTGTGTAGTGTGAATGTTACTTGCCACTTGTCAGCCCAAACCTGAATATTGTCCAGATCTTTTGAATTTGAATATAGACTGCTTCAGTATCAGAGGAGTCGCAAATGGACCTGAACATTGTGCAATCATTAGCGAATATCCCCACTTCTGACCTTATGATGGAGGGAAGGTCATTGATGAATTAGCTGAAGATAGTTGAGTTTGGGACACTCCCCTGAGGAACTCCTGTAGAGATGTCCTGGAGCTGAGATGACTGGCCTCCAACAACCACAACCATCTTCCTACGTGCTAGGTATGACTCCAACAGTAAAGCTGCCATAGAGACCACTCTCCTACGAGACAGAGAGAGGGAGACACACACACAACTGGTGATGGTTAAACCTGAGGGTCACCATATCTCAGACAGGCGGAAAGGTTGAGAAGGAGAATTTTTTATGGTAACCTCAGCTAGTGTGGGGATTGAACCCATGCTGTTGGTGTCACTCTGTATTACAAACCAATTGTCCAGCCAACTGAAGTAACCAGCCCCAGCTGCCTGTTTTGATGGATATAAAAGATTCGATAGAACTACCTTAAAGAAGAGAGGCATTAAAACCTGGCCAATATCTATACTCCAATCATCATCACAAGCACACATTATCTGGTCATTATCACATTGTTATCTACATTTATGTCAAAATAATAATATTGGCAGAGTGTAGATAATAGTCTGTGATGCTGATATACTTAAAACAGAAGTCACAATCATTTTGGAATGAAATGCTGTAGACTAAAGCTCTTATATTCTTTCATTAGATGTGAGCATTGTTGGCAAGATCAATATTTATTGCCCAGCCCTAAGGCTCTTGTGAAGATTCCTCAAAGTAAGACACATGTCCCCACACTTTTACATTGCTTTTTATTTGACATATTCCCAAGGAAGTCATCAAGGTGAAACTTACAGTGATTTAGGAACATCTTTTCCAGGTTAGGGATATTGTGGAATTGCTCTGAAGTCCATATTAAAATGTTGACTAGACCTGCCCTGTTTGAAGTTTCCATGCCAAAAGTTCTGTGCCACAAGCACTCAGAGAACACAGTGGATCTGTTTGTTGTACCATAACTTGTTGCTCAAATAGATGACCAATTTATTGATATATCTCATATTGTTCCAAAGGATGGAACAAGCTTTAGACTTTTACAGCTTCTGATCTGGGGACAGTGCTGAAGCAGGCAGTAAGGTCAACACAAGCGATGTGATCAGATACACTGTTGTTTGGGACCAGCCAGTATAGACTTGAGAAAGGGTAGATTTGAGAAAAAAATAGATTTGAGACTCTCAAATTTAGTTGGGTCAGCCAGAGACTGTCTCATCCAATCCAAAATACTGAACTAAAATAACATTAAAAAATTTTAAAATTGAGAAATAATTCTATTATGGCAGCATATATTGGGCTCTGGTGCATGCACTGGAAATCTGGGACTTAATACAGCTGAAAGGACAGGATAGAAAATGGCATCATTTCATCTCGAGATCCAAATGCCTTTGGCACTGTGGGATCTAGTTGGCAGGTCATTGTTCATGTCTGTCCATGCTGTAAATGACCTCATTGAATTCATGTATGCCTGGAGGTTTAATCACATGACATCTGATCACATGATGTTTAATCAGGCAGCAATTGTGATATTTGCCTGCAATTTGCAGTTGTTTTGTATTTATTTTGAAAGATAAAGGGTCATTTATTCACCATGTAACCAGAAAATTTGCTTACGGCCAGGGTTAGACTGGATGTTGGGAAATATCCCCCATGAAGATAGACCCAACAGAAACAGCACCCAAGAGGTGAGACTTCTGAACTTGCACTACCTCAGAGAAGGCAAAGTGGTTAAGTCCCTGAGAATCTTAGAAAATGTTGCAAGCACTCAGCAAGTTAGGTAGCAACTGGAAGGAAAGAGAAACATTAACGTTCCAGGCACAACCCTCAAAATATGAAGATATCATCACTGCCCATCCCTGCATGTGTTGGTAAACTCATTCTACATTACCAACACTGACAATCGAGAGAAAAGAGGAAATATTGTTCAGGGGAAATGTTATTATAGTCAATATTAAGACTAAACAGTGACATTGGGAGCAGCAGAGAGAGTTTACAAGGATTACAAGATTTAAGAAATTTTCAATCTTATCTTAGTTTTTAAAAAAATAATTTACTTCATTTTAGTTTTTAGTTCACTTTGTAATTTCTGGAATGAGGATTCTCCATCACTACACCCATCATCAGGCCGGGATGCCAAGTCATTGAAAGAGATTGAAACATTTTTAGCTATTGCAGACATCAATGGTTGTGGAAAGAAGGTGGGAGTACGGAGTTGGGATAGTTCAGCTGTGATCATATTGAATGGTGAAGGATGCTCAAAGAGCCAAATGGCCATTGGTGGGTGGCCCCTACACCTTTCTGCACCTGTCCCCTGAGTTCTCGGATCCTGCTCCAATTTGCCAGGTTTACTGTGGCAAATTGGGTGCCATATTTCCTACATTGTGACTGTATTCAGAAGTGCATCATTGACTGTAATATACATTGGACAGTGTTCTCTCCAGCTGAAAGGCTGCACAGCTGCTCCAAGATTCTACACACATTTGAAGAAAGAGGATATTGCTCAAAGGACATTTTGCTCAATTTTGCATTGCAAAAACCACATTTGATTCAATGATGTATTTGCACAACCTGAAATTCTGTAGGAAAATTGTTTCCTGGGTACTTACTCAGAAAGTTTTACACGAATCCTGCAATCTTGGTACCAGGAAAATTATATTGGTAAATGGGGGCCTGGCTTGATTGAAGTTCACTCTTTTCTGACATCAGCTCTGATACTCAGAGAGAAATTGAGAGGAAGTTTGGATTACTGAGCTCATCAGAAGATGCAAGTTGTGAAGGTTAAGCTACGTTATGGCCAGACAGTGCCTTATTAGATGGTCATAACCAAGAGCTGCATTCGTAGATCATTTGGTAAGCTTGAATAACCTTGAATAAAACAAAGTTTCGAGGCAGAAGGAAAAGTTCAGATTTCCAATGACTTTGTGATTCACAGAATCATTGTTTTGGGAGGAACAGATGGAGTGAAAGGGAGAGGGAGGAAATTGGAAAAGCAATCAATTAGAGTAGAGAAGTTACATAAGCAGTCAACTAAAATATCTAATTCAGCAGCTGAAATACCAACAGCACTTGTGTGGGATGTTTACTGCCCGTGGTGCTCACATAACTTATTAATGGTAATCTGA